CTAAATTTATCCGTCAATACAAAAATTAGTAGATTACACCTTACTTTCTAATAAAATTAGCTCAAATATCACATAGTATACTGCATTACTACACAAACATTAGTCAGATACTCAAATAATATAAAATAAAATGTATACCTAGTTAAAATGTAAAATAATTTTCACGCATTTTGAGTTTTGACAAATAAAAAAAAAAATAGAAAAGTATCTAGGAACTTTTCCGGTTGCTATATAATTCTATAACTCTCCAAATCAACCCCTGCATTAAGTTTTTAATTGTTGTTGATATAATTATAAATTTATATATAGATTTTTTATTTTTAAAAACGTTTTTCTAAATTATTAGAAAATAGTGTAGGTACCTACTCAATATTATTTATTACGAAAATTATTTAATATTATATTTTATTTTATTGTGTGTATACTGTATTCATTGTATTAAAAAAAACAAATTATTTTATATTATTTGACTATTTGAATAATGTGTGTGCAGTATAATTTGTGATATTATTATACTATTAATGTAATTTATTTTACTATTATTATTTATTACAGAGTGTAGAGGTTGAAATCATTTTACGAGCTAATTTTATAATTTAATATTTGAGCTAATTTTTTTAGAACATTTTTAAAAAGGTTTTCAAAATTTTTAGAAAATAGTGTAGTAGGTACTGTAGTATATAATTTAATTATTTGACTAATGTTTGTGCAGTATATAATAATAATAATAGTTTATTGTCAATATAATATTTTTTATAAGCATTTAAAGTCCAAAAATTAACAAAATATGGAAAAATCTCGAAAATTAGCAAATTATTTTGAGTTAGGAATTCGTAAAAATTTAACTTTTTAATCTAAAGATTTTTAAATGTAATACAAGATTCCTTATAAGATTATCTACCTTTATCAAAAAAAAAAATGTCTATAAGAAAGTCAAATTAAATTTTTATGAACGTTTGAAATTCAAATTTTTACAACATTGGATATTCACTCGATTTCCTTATTTTGTTGTAATTCAAAAACGAATAACTGTAGATACATGAAAATTTCACTGAAAGTTCATATTAGCATTTTCTATACACTGTACAATTTTGAAAATATTTTGACTTTTTTTGAGCTATTTACGGACATTTTCAGTTTTCAATTTTTTTTTCTATAAATATCAATAAAGTTTTATCTGTTGGGCCAAAAAGTGTAAAAATTTAATACAAGGCTCCTGATATATTGTTACAATAGCAATTGAAAAATTTTAAAAATACATATTCACAATTTTTTTCTATAAGCATTTAAAGATCGTATTTTGACAACATTTATCAAAATCTCGAAAATTATGAATCATTGTAATTAATAAATTATAAAATGTTCAGTTTTCTTAGCTTAGGATTGCAAATTTAAAACAAAGGTTCTCATAAATAGTTCATACTGTAACCAAAAACTCTAAAAAATATATGAACACAGTTATTTTTTACAGACATTTTAAATTCAAATTTGGACGAAATTACATAATAAAAAACCTAGAATAACTATTTTAGTTATTTTGTTGTGATTGTATAATATTATTCGTGGGTACTTGAAATTTATAAAGTGTACTATTATATATCTATGATAGTATCGGGTTTGTTGGTGTATAAGTACCTAATGGATATTGTGATATGATTAATTTGGAATTCATTATATTAAGTCAATTTTTTTTAATACCATAGATAAGTATATAATATGTCTTATACCTAGAAGGACATACCGTCTCCGCTCAGAAGCGTTTTTCTTATACAATGATATAATATCATTGAATTCAAATGTAATACCATCCATTATACAGTGACCCACTTGTAACCTACTGTACAGCAGAGTGACACCCACTTGCCCACCTTTTTTTTTTTTACATTTTTGAAATTTAATCTACCCTACACTTATTATTTGATAATTTCCTTCGGTATAGCAGGAGTGTCTTTCCTATTGTCAAGGAGAAAAAAACCAACTACCCATGGATATGGAATGAAAAATATTGAAGACTTCTTGGAGGTAAACAAAATATAATATATAATATCATGTAGGTTTATATTTTAACAATAAAAGTTTAAATTCTATAATATTTGTCATTTTTAGTATAACCAACATTTTAACAGTCTTGTAAAGTATTTGAGTAAAAGTATTTGAGTAAATGTATTTAAATACTTTCATTGTATTTAGAATACTTTTTAAATACTTTTTGAATAAAGTATTTGGAAAGTATTTTAAATACTGTTTTGGACGTATTTGTATTTGAAAATCAAATACTTTTATTTAAATACTTTATTGATTTTTTTTCAATAATAAATGATTATTTATTATCTTTTTTCTCAGAAATCAAAGTAATATCATTGAAATTTAGTAAGTTTATTCCCGACATAGCCTCCTAAAATGCAAAATATTATTGTTTTTTTTTTTCATTGAAGCCTATATTAGTTTATTGTGATGTGAATTAGTTGAAACTCCAAACTATAAACATAGAACAATAATGAAGCGAAACTCGATCAGCTGATTCGGTTTACGACTTTACGTTTACCTATGATCTATGAAGTCTGAACCTAAAACGAGCTCATAAATCAACACGATGTTAGATCCACCATCCACGAACGACGTGCGAAAAGACAAAACTGTCGGGGAAACCGAAAAAAATCGGCAAAAAAGTCCGGCCGGGAGCGTATTTTGCGATCGACATTGCGACGGCTTCGGACGGAGCACGGATATAAACCGCCCACCGGCGGCTTCGAGAGATCGCGAGCTACGCGAATCGAGTATTAAAAAAGGGCGAAAAACGATAGAAAATGGTCGAAATAGTGTGAATAATTAAATAGTATACATACGTAATAATGTAATATATACATTAATAAAAATATTTTCACTACAGAAATATAGCATTTATATATAAATTATTTTCTCCAGAAGCTAGGTTTGTTGTGGAGATAAAGGTTCTTATAATATAATATATTTAGTTCTCACACAATAAATAATTAAAAGGATCATTCAGTGATTATTAACTTATCATACAATTATAGGTACCTTGGTTAGTACCAGAATATGGAACATGCATTATAATATATGAACTATTAAGTATTAACTATATAATAATAATTAATATATACAGTTTGAATGAGTTTGATCTCATGGTCAAATTTAAAGTTAAAATATCAGAGAAAAAGTATTGAACCCAAAGGTAACACTTAAAACAAATGTATTAAAATAAGTATTTGTGTTTAAATACTTTCTAAGTATTTGTATTTGTTCTTAAATACTTATTGAAAAAAGTACTTTAAATACTATTTAAATACTTTTTAAGTTGATGTATTTGTATCTCTATTTAAATACAAATTAAAAGTATCTTTTTACAAGATTGCATTTAATTAGTTTCGGAGCAGAAACCTTGTGTGACTGGAGTGCATACCTGCAGGTTCTTGCTCTGAAATGTAATAACCGGGTAAGTACATTTTGCTTATATCATCTCCGTATCTAATAATCGGACATAACGGTTTGTTACACCGAAATGTATAGTTTATTTCCTGATCAGGAAACCACAGAAAAAATACTTTTTTGAAAAAGGTAACATATCAGGTTTTTCACAGAAGGATTCCATACTTTTTAGCTTAGATAGGTATAGCCAGGTACAAATATTTACCATAAGTGCCAATTGACACTTATGAGTTTGTACATTTAAGTATTAGTAACAGTTTAAATTCACTAACTTTTAACTTGCACATTTAATTATTAATCTGTAACTAATATGAAATAATTACAAGTCACATAATATATTATGTCGGTAAATTGCAACCCATATTAATAGTTAAATTTACAAATCATAAATATGAGTAAACTTAAACTATGGACCTACTGATAATTTTACACATTAAATAGGTTAATACAATATTAATTCAACTTCGATATGATTTTAAATTTACAAGTAATGCGAATATATAATAATATAGTCCTATTTATATTAATAGGACGAAAACGATAAGTTTTTCGATGCGGAATCGATAAGTTTTCGGTCCGTGTCCAATGATGAATTCGTAAGTTTTCGGACCATGTCCAATGTGGAATCTGTAAGTTTTCGAATCGTGTCCGATGTGGAATCTGTAAGTTTTCGGACCATGTCCGATGTGGAATCTGTAAGTTTTCGGACTATGTCCGATGAAAACTTGAACGATAACACAAAGATCGTATAAAATCAATAGGAGGTCAGTTTTCCATATGATATTGAGTATAATTTTTTAATTAAAACTATTTTCATATAATTCCATACTTTCTAGAACTGTATATGGACGCGGTGGAAAAGCAGGCGTTCGAGGACCTACAAGTATGAAACTAAGAACGGCTTTAGAACAATCGAATGTAATCATATAATATCGCAGGGCTGATAAACGGTTTTGATTTGATTTTCAGCATAACTTTAAAGTGGTTGAAATGAATTGTTTGGAGTTGAAACATCACGTGGCCGACGCAATGTATACCTTTCAACAGACGGTCGACGATCAGCGCCTATCGATCGACAGCCTGAAATTAGAAGTGTCTAGCCTTAAAAAAGATTTGAACCGTTTGACCTCCGATCTGCTGAAAAATACAGAGATGCAGTCCGCGGAAAATAATATTATATAATATATCGACCTGACTATACCCATAACAGTGTTATACATTAGTCGTTTCCGTTCGTTTAGCAAACACCGAAAAACCCAAAAGTCTGCAAGCTACGTAGACTGAAGACAAGGGTCTCGGTTCTTGAAAGTAATATAATATAGAAAAATAACGGTTAATAGATAATAAAGTACTAATGACGTGTGTCCGTGTAGGTGATGTGACGAAAAACTCGATAGATATCGTTGGAATAAACCACATGCTGATGTTAAGGTTGACGAGCTCGGGGGCTGCCGCTGAAAATGATGTGTCGGCCGAAGAAAACATTTTTGAGCCAGACACTCTGAACGTGCAATGCCACAAACCTACCTCGCCGACGACGTCCGCATCCTTTACACCCGTCGCAGGCCCGCCTCCTGCGGTAACCTCGGAAAATTTTTGGCCGCCACCTCCACCTCCTGCAGTAACCTCGGAAAACTTTTGGCCACCTCCTCCGTCTCATGCTGTAACCTCAGAACATTTTTGATTGCCTCTTCCGACGCCACCGATGACGACCGGCACGGCAGCATTCCGCCGTGACCCTGCTGTGCAGAAGCCGTGCGCATTCGTGCGTGGAGCCGAGGGGAAAGAATTGCAAACTTACTGCCGTGTGTCCATAACGGAGGAGAGTTTGAGGGCCGTCGTCCTCAAGCCTGTAGCCCGTCCGACTTGAAGATCTCTTCCATTATAGGTATACGGCAGTAGGTATTAGGTGCATGACCTTTCCGTCCGCCATATCTATAGATAATTACAATAGAATAGAAGAATTAAGAAAAAATTACACAAATTATAAATGGTTCATAGCTGATACATTGGTCATAATTCTTAACAATACAATAGCCGAAGACCGTCGACCAGGGGCGGACCCAGGGAGGGGTTTGGGAGGTCAGCTGACCCACAGTTGTTTTCCCAGTTAAATGTGGCCCCTCGAAATGGCAAACTATATAAACATTTTTTATTTGAAAAAATTATGTACAGTGGTGAATTTAGAGGAGAGGCACGTGCCCCTTGTCAATTTTCTGTCGACAAGTTGTTATGTAACTACGAGTATCATATAAATGAAACATACAATTGATAAGGATAATACTACCAACTATTAATTATTACTTATTATAATCATTATTGATAGTATGTATGTATTATTAATTAAAATTAAATTTATATGTGCCCCCCCCCCTTCAAAATATCGAAGATCTGCTATTATGATATAGGGGTATATCGTATATACAGCTGTGAAGACTGAGTATTGAAGTAAAATAACGCGTACGAAATCGTGTTTAAGCTTATCAACTTATAATGTACGTACCTAAAATTCGATAAACACAAGTATAAAAATATGTTGGATATAGATATTAATATATTATATAAGATTTTATGAAGTTGACATAGATGAAATTGATATAGAAGTGGAATACCGTTCATTGCATCTAGTTTACCAACAAATGGCAAAACTATTGAAACTGGAGTAACTGGACCTTTAAAATTAAATGATGTATTGAAAATTCATGATATCACGAGACATGGTTTCTTCATATCCAAATTTATATACTTTGTATAAAATTTTTTATACACTATACCAGTCAGCAGTGCAACTGCAGAAAGATGTTTAAGCGTTCTAAAACTTCTCAAAACATGCCTTAGCTCAACTATGACTGAAGACCGGCTATCAAATTTGGCCATATTGAGCATAGAAAGCAACATAGCTCAAACCATTGATTTTGTTAACGTAATAAGTACATAATTCGCACTAATGAAAAAGCGCAGAAAATGATTGTAATGTTCTAGTTCTTTACTATTATTTTCATGTAGGTATTATTAAATATAAATTTTATTAATGTATTATTTTTGACTTTTCTATTGTATTAGAATTTAGAACCACCTATTCTATATCTCTTGTGAAAATGAAATCAGTCATTGAAAACTAAAATAAAATAAATATACTGCAAATATACGTATACAAATAAAATAATAAATTTGTATAATTTCTTCTAATGATTTAAATATGTCAAGTAAATTTTTTAATTGAATATAAATTTTAATGCAACAAATAAAAATAAAAATAAATTAAATATAGCTATTAAAGCTTGTAAGTAAATTGTAAAATTGTAAAATATGTGATATAGTTATATTGAACGTTGGTATCAAAATGTGATGTAAATAACTAATAAGGTAAATCGCGAGCCCAGAGTGATTTTGTAATACCTAACTATATAGGTAGTTGGTTGAAGTTTCTACACAGTGGCCTCTCGTAAGTAAGGCAGACCCACAGTTCTAAAATCCTGGGTACGCCACTGCCGTCGACCGTCGACCGTTGACCGCAGATAAGACCGTACAACGGATCCACGGAACGAAAAATGAGAATCATAAAACTGCAGTTCTTATCTCTTAAAATTGCGAATTTTACAACACAACTAAATTCTCATAAACTATAATTTATAACTAATGTAATTTAAAGTATTATGTACTAAGTTTTACATTGTAATTTATTATTATTTGAAAATAGAACAAGAGTGATAATAATAAATGTATTGATAGGATACATTAAAATATTCAATTTCGATTTGGCAAGTACCTATTGTGCAATAATTCATACCTACCAAGTACCAACTTCCTATTATTTCAAATTTTAAAAGTTAAATTACACGCATTTATAAAATGTATATATATTCCATCAGTGCCGTATCCAGACATTTTTTTTTTTTTTTTTTTGGGGGGGGGCATTTAATTTTGAATGCACGGATAAGATAGACATTTTTCATGAGTATTGCAGTACATTTAACTATTATAGCTAAGGGTTTTAGTAGGAGCTTGGTGTGTCGATTGTTTATGACAATGTCGTTACATACATAATAATGTAAGTAATAATAAGTAAACATGAAAAGACTACAATGAATTCAATACATTTAAATTTCTTAAAACATACATGTTATGTAATATTATATTATATATATTATATTATATATTGTATTACCAAGTTTAATTACTTCAATTCATACCTTATAACTGTACTAACCTTTACATTGAGTTACACATATTAATTTTTTTGCAATATTTCAAACAAATTTCAAAACAAGAAAACTACATATACATATTATATGTTACACAATTATAATAAATTGAATTTAAATTCCTCCAAAGGTGTAAAACTATGCTTAAAATATTGTAATATTTGTCAACATTTTTATTATGTCGTTGGCATGCAAAAATGTATTATACATGATTTATATATATTATTAATAAATACATACCACCCTATCCTATCCTATCACCAACCTATCACCGTTTTAAAACTATCTTCTAAAACGTTATTATTATATTCGCTTAATAAATTGTAAATGTTACTATTATTATGACATGCATATATATATATATATATCCTTTGCAATGTAATAATTATTTAATTCAATAATTTAAAAATTAACCTACCTAAGCAAATGTAATGTACAGTAAATATAGGTACATTACACTGTTATGAGAATGCACATACTTTCATTATTATTTAAAATATGTGTAGGTATCAATAATATTAAAAATATATATATATGTATTATGTATATAAGTAATTTGAATGCACGAATTGGATAGACATTTTGCAGTACATTTATTTAAAAACTATGAGTTTTAGTAGGAGCTTGGTGTGTCGATTGTTAAGACAATGTTAATTTCTTAAAACATACATGTAACGTTATATATATATTTATATATATACACTTTTAAAAACCAAATATATAAGCATGTGCACAACACACACATATACAACATGATACATTTAACTGATGTTTTATAGGCTACACATAATATATTCATTTAACTGTACTTAATAAGTACTTATGAACAGTAATAATGTTATGATAGGTACGCCACACCTACAGGTGTCTATATAAGTCATTTATAGAGCATTTAATTAGCTTTATGGAACGTTTTAATGTCATTTGGGTACGCACAGGTCGTTCGCAACCAGACACCTATATACCTGGGAAGTATGCAGGTTGCCTTTAAATCGACTACCTACTTAACCTTTTTATTAAATTGACATTCGGCTTTAACATTTTCTCCTACAATAATACAATATCAGACTATCGACGTTAGGAGGTATGCCCAGTAAACGCACAAATTAGTACCGGTTGAGGACTGAAAGCTAGACACACAATTACCGTTTTCGGTATGCATTTTTATCGTTTTTGCACGCACAAAAGAACAGGGCATGCGACGGTTCATGTATCCAATCCACCATACACAGATGCCCTATAACTCATAGATTTGCATACAGCGATGATTGATAGCTAGACATTCGATTACAATTATTCATAATTCCTAATTAGTAATTTCTTATAAAGTCAACCCAACAGAACCAGGCATACAGTGGGGCACTGTATTACATCAGACGAGCAAAGACCACTCTACACTCCAAGTCACAGTTTTCGGTACGGTTTAATTTCTTTTCGAATTTCCCGTGAAACGATTTTCACTCGACCACCTCGAAGGCGCTGGAGGCGGCTCCACAACGCCCGGCATCGAGGCACAAGGGCAGCTAGTATAATTATATTTTATCATTGCTAATAATATGTAAAGCTCATAATACATACTTTATACGGTGCGATTCACCAAGTACATTCACCCCTTTTTTCTTCAATAATATTTTAGTTCTTAAAAACAATTTTTGAAAATTTTTAAATAGGGTTGAAGACCACAATTTAGTTATTAGATACCTTTATAAATTCTTGACATTTTAAGTGTTACTTAAGGAGATGTGTCTTGTGGCGAAACAAACTTCTGTTTTTTTTTAAATAAGAACTCCCCTCTTAAACTGTAAATAATTTAAACGACAATTTTTTTAAAAATGTTGACGTGTCAAAATAAAAATTCTAACGAGTAGTTTTTGAGCTGTTTAACTTTGTGTACTAAGGAAAATAGATCCATGTTATAGTTTTAGTTATCTTTTAGTAATTAATATTAATCCATCAACATTTATAATTTGTAAAAATGGTCCAAGTACCTATAATAGAGTCTAGATCCAATATTACATGTATTTGATATTTTTGTAAAATCATTTTTCATTATAAATAATGAAACAAAGAGTTCAAGTTTTGAACAAGTTATATCAAAATGAAAAAAAATATTATCAACTAAATTACAGTCAAAAATAATGGAAAGTGGTTCTTATTTCAAAAACAGAAATTTGCTTGGCCACTGAACACTCTTTGAGGCTTAAGTACTACAAACATCTCAAACATTTGAAAACATGGTTTTAAGTAAATTTTAAAATTTTAAAAATCAGAATTTGAATAAATTCGTTATGAAAGGGAAAATGGGGGAGCGCAATGAGCATATCGTTGGTATTTTGTTAGAAGGGAGTATACCAAATTTTACTTTTTTCAGGAAACAAATAAAACTGATTAAATATTCAATTTTTAAGATACAACATACTTTTATACATTATATTAAAGATGAGACTTCATGAAACTAAAATGTCTTATTAAATTATTTAAACTATATTTATATTTAATGCTATCTAAATTTAAAAAAAAAATGTGGTTTAGGCCCTTTTAACAATTTGAATTTTATA